TTAACGGTAGGTTCGTAAATGTTTTCCTTTTCACGGACAATTGGTGTGTCATCACTGATATTCAGTGATCTATTCATATAATTCTCATCACTATTGTGCATTTTTCGCCCAATGGACTCTATTTCTGCAGATAAAAAAGACTGGTATTAATTAGTCTCTGGCTTTGGGACGAACCCAATTTGACTTGAATGAATAAGTAGTTTAGAGCTGTCATTTATTTGAATTTGACAAAAATTATAACAAATCTATGCTTGAAATAGGTCATTTTACACAAGAGGTGAAGTCGTATCAAAGGAACAAGGAACGCCAATTCCCCATTATCACACTGTGAAAGGAAAGCTCTGCTTATTGTATAACATTTTACCAGCAGAAATATGGTTCCATTATATACGTCGTACGAAACATCATCTGTGTATGAGAAAACATATAATCCATGATCTTTCTTCAGTGAAAACCAAGTCAAGATCTTTACACGTTAAACTGTGTACGGCCTCATTACATAATATTATCACGAAGTGTCATGTTGGTCTCCATGACATAAAAACCACCTCTGTAATAGTTTCATCAATTTCACTCAATATTTCATCGCGAATCAATACGAGATGATTAATTTATTACGTCGTTACGACGTGGAAGCCCACCATGTAATTCTATGTCGTAAAAGTGATTCCATTCATACCTCATACAGCGCCTGGTTCATTGATCGCAAACAATCACGGTTAACACTGTCGTAAAGTGTTCATAATAGGATCTTTTGAGACTTTATATTGAATAATGAATTCTATTTTAGAAGAAGGTATATCTTGGTTCTATTTTAACGTTCACCTCGAAATTATTGATGTTATTACCTTCAAGGCAAGATCTTCGTTTAAAAATCCCTTTCAGTTGGTTCCTTTAAAGGATTTTGTGTTTCATTTTTAACGCGTGTTTTTGCCGAGAAATCTCTTTTATGAAAATATATAATAATGAATCGTGCACATACGTTGTACAACGTTAAACTAATCTCTCTCGGCCTATGTAACATTTATTAGAAGATACAACAGTGGGATACGGTACTATATTTGATACCAGTACATGTAAAGTTCATGGCCTGAAATTAACAGTTATATATATGTAATATAGATATGTATCATTTTTTAAAAGTTTTATTTACCGAATCAATAAGATAAATAAACTGCAAAGCAAAAAATCCACGATTCGGCCAAATTGTGATATTTGGTATGTCTGCAACATATTCGTCTCGTTGGTTTCAACAAGGTGATAAATACCTCCTCCGATTGTTGACTTTTTCTCCAAATACATGTTCAATATGGAAGTTGTGAGTAGTGATGATTATGAATGAAATAATCGCCACATCTGGGAGACCTTGTACAACTTGTGTCTGAAATATGTCATCTGCCCCAATGACCGCCTTTTGGAAATATATTGTAGTTTGATAGAAGTTTTACAATGCGATCATATTGATGCATACATACATCGCATGTGACTGAGAGTGTGCTTTGCGCTGAGAGGCAGCATGCAGAGGAGATCTGTCAAAATCGACTTTTTTACTGGCTTATACTCCTGAATTGACCTTCATTTTCACACTTGTGAACGTAAACATGTTCAGGGATTCAGTGTTAAAATGTGACATAGATAGTGTGAAGATCTTGTCCATAATCTATCAATGATATCATGGCATAGCCCCTGTACACCCCAACTAGAAGTCTTCACTCTGACAGTAAGATGATGCTCAACATTTCTCTGACAAAACTGAAGTCATTTGGACATAGATCCAATATTAAGGTGCTGAACTATGGAATTAAGTGCCGCTCAGCACCCTCTCTAACATCATTCAAGACTGGGCTTAAGAAATATTTGTTCACAAAGTTCTATTCTTCTACACGTTGTTAAACTTACCTGTGACAAATCCCTCGTTTGTGGACAGTAAAGACGTTGTATGCAGCTAATTTCCTCATGTAATCAATGTAGTGCTATGAGCATTCACTGAGTGTATACAATTTGTCGCCAAAGAAATGTTCTTCTTCTTATCATTATACATTAATGCTTCAAGTATTTTATACGTTTTGGTCGAAACCCATGGGCATGGGTATGGTACTTAAATAACAAGCATAATAATTTGAGAAAATAGGAAGTCTAAATCAAAATAAGCAGATCCTGACGCCCAAGGGACGCAACATTACACAGTGAATTAAGACGCCTTAGACCCCTGCCTCCCTGGATTTAAGAACGGGTTTTGTCACATTTCCCAAGCTTAGGAGTTTTGGTCATTTGTCTTTCGCCTTTCAAATAATGACAATACTATTTCAATGTACAAATGCTCTTAATTCCAGCAAAGTACAAACGTTTTTAGCTCATGCGTTGAATACATGTCATCCGTTCATATAATTTTCACCGCTATTTTGCTTTAAATTTCACTCCTAATGGAATCTGTTTCGGGAGATAATCGAGACCAATTATACGCTAGCATTTACGTTTTATATTTACATATACCACATGGACCGTCCACGTACATATCACTTTAATAAACGTACAAATATTCACATGTGGTATACAACAATTATCTCACCAAATAATTCCCATTATTGTATTTCATAATTTGCCTAGATATAGGCCACACCTTACATAATATAATACAGTTCCCCCTCATGACACAATGTGTACCAAAATGGTGGAACAAATCTGCTGCCACAGTAATATGCAGTGTTAGCTCTTCCAGGCCACTGCCATAGTACACGGAGTTATTCTAAATATGAATACATTTGAAACATTCAGTCTGTAACAATGACCGTTTTAGTCTCCTGTAAATCTATTGGAAGATATGATCCTGTTAACCCTTGACGCCATAGACTGTCTAGCTTGCAGTCGACCTATTGCTCATTGACTACAATGCACGTGCATTGATCTGCGGCTTTGTTCCACCAGAAAGCCTGATCGACTTTCTCCATTGTGCCACTTTTCCTGGCTAAACCTAACCAGCAGCAATTTCCCATTGGACGTCCTTTAATATTGATAAAAGCTCTGTCGTTCTAATCATTCGTTACGGATCGTGATTGCATTGTTCTTCAGTCTGTTACTGCGTCTGTCAAACTGACTTTCTCTATATGATAGATACTGATTGTGATATAATACTAGGTTGTATTGTACCTGAGTAATGTCAACTGCTAGCAGTGGTTAGAGCTATGCTGAGGAATCCGTACTCGTTGGCACGGATATCGATCGGTGCTTAGGTAGCTGTAATGCCTACCTGTAAGCCGCGATGGAATGGCGACCGTGAATGAGACCGAGATGGATAGGTGTAATGCGCTTACCAACATGCTCCACTTTCTGAATGTAGGGCTGTGTGACACTGGTATTTGACAGCATCACGGTTCTGCTGTACCATTGTTCATGGGCTGAGCAGGTTGGCCTTCCTGGGTCAAGGTGAAGAGGAGAATCTGGGGCAATTGTTCGCAAGCTGTATGACAGTGGGGGGAAATAAGTTGTAAATACCCTTTTTGGATGAACGAGCTGTTAACATTTCGAAAGAAGTTTGAGAATTAATACACTTCACATGTCTGACTAACGCCATACGTAACAGATCTTCAAACACATGTAGATATGTATTGTTTTTGGTCAAACAAGAACAAACTCAGTACGCAATGTCACAACATTAAGGGGAGCCAAACAATCCGTATTTAAGAAATACAAATCTTGGTTTCATCAATAATTTTCAGCGATCCATTCAAATAATTTTCATCCCTGTGATGCCTTTTTCTTCAAATGGAATCTGTTTCGGCAGATAATCGAGACTGATTGTTCTTTAGCATTGACCTTTTATATTTACTGCCGAGAGACGCATGCTTTGGGACTCATATTTATTTTATTAATGTTTGGTTTTACACTTTACAATAAATATTTGATGTATTTCTTTTTCAAGTCACAGACATATTTGTGGTTGTTTATCAGTGAATGAATGAACATACATAGTATGGAGATAATATTTCACCTGCAGGTTCTAAAAGACATTGACTTTTCTTCACTATTTTACTTCACACACTGACCTTTCAGCATCCCCAAACCCTTGTCACACGTTGATATCTAAATATTTGCTCAGCGGTTCGATGGTTTTCTTTGTCCTGCTTGCTGCAGTTCTACTGCAATTAGATATTGTAATATGCGTGTTGCATCTAGAATAGGGAGATTAGTTGTGAACTTGCGAGGGAGCGTGGGTGAGGGAGTGTAGAAGTGTAGATGTGTTTTTCTATAAATCGAAAAATCGTAAATATATAATTCTTTGTCAACGAGTCTTCAGAACGACAGAACAGCTCAGTAAAATTGATGCTTAAATGTTGTTTTGATGTGTTAATCATTCTTGTATAGAGAGTACGTACGGCCGTCGGAAAAAACCCTGCGTCACTACCTACAATTATTATCTGCTCAAAGTTATCAACCGATGGCTTCCTTTTTTGCCATTTGGATTGTGTTTTCCTACTTTGAAATCTTAGATAGATGCAGTGACAACAAGGATAAATATTTAAATGTTTGGATGAAACGGTGGTTAGTATTGTTTCTACCCACACACCACAATAAAAGACGATGTTTGTATGACAACAATGTTGCTCATATGGGTAAAACAGTACTCTCCCTGAGTCACGACGTGAGTAACTATGTTTCCCCATTTGTCACCATCACTTATATTTCAAGAAATAGCGATCACACATTAATGAAATATTTCTCACATTACAAACAATGAATACATATCGCGAATAAACTGATTCAGTGTTATAATTAAGCCCCCAAACAGTAAAATCAAAATCCAATTCTCTTTGTCTAAACCCGGCGGTTTAATACAACGACGTACCAGTGCCACCCAGACACCTTAGCAGAAGCCAAACTCTGAGGAATCAATAAAAGGGACCAATCACATCATCGCATGATATCACGTGCCTCGTCTACGAGGGAGTTTCCATTGTAGTGCAGTGTACAACCGAACTGTACTTCGAGTACAGGTGAGCTGTCTGCAAGTGTCAATAATTCATCCGTCTGTGCACGGCTGAATGAAACAGCTCAACCGGGGAGCAACTCGTGCCGAGTGAGCATGCGCGGGCATCGTTAGTTGTCGATAGCAGCAACCCTGACCATGGTTCCATGTGACAGGGCATGTACATTTCTCTGCGATACACACTGACAGAGACAACAGGTGATGGATTTCTAACTTTCACACCAGGTGAGAAACATGACGAATATTCTATTTCAATTTTTCGTTAGTTTTTAAAATATTTTTCACATTAACAGTGTCATTTTAATGAGATTAGATCTGAATGTATCGATTTTAAGTCATGGGTTCAGCCTAGGGGCGCGCATCGCAGTCGTCGCGATGTTCCTGTATGTACAGGTGAAATGAACAAGCTTTGTCTGTCATGTATGTCTGCCAGGCACTAGAGTGATGAAGTGTGTGCATCTATCTCCCTCTTTCTGGCAGGTATGTGCGATGTTTTGTATGACAGATGTTTATGAGGCGGGACGTTCTCACAGGTGTTGCTCTAGCAGTGTGGATTCCATCATTAATTACAGCTGCATCTCATAAAAATGGTAGTAGTAATATACATTTACCATGGACAAAACTTAACCTCGCATAGGAAATGACAAACAGGGCGTAATAATTAGCCATTGTTAAATGCAGACTGGATCCTGGAAGTTGTCAATCACCCAACAACACGCGTGCGTGTGTGTTGCCTCTGCATCAACACATATTTTACTGCGACATTTCTCTCGAAGATTCATTGTTTTAATAGTTAATGAAAAAAAACAATAAGGTGAGATATATTCTTGTATTTATTTATTATTCACTTATAAGTTAACCCGAATGGAAGACATTGTTTCAAATCGGTAAGTTACTCCTCTGACGTTTCGTGTGAAACCATGATCCAATAAAGGCATCAGTTCATAAACAAAGACGACTGGAGTTCCAGTGATAGCTAAGGGCAAGGTGGTTGTTCAAACCCTTCAACATTAATCCTAAATTATTGTACATGTGATAATAAATGTCCGCTGTTGTTGACACAACATTGGAGACATATGTGGAACAACTTTGTCTCTTCAATTACCGAGCTTAGATATGACATCCGTACCAAAGTGGAAATATGCTGATATTACCAGGACGACACACCCGATCACAGCTGGTTTCATCATGTGGTAGATGTGCACAAATCGGAAAACTGATTGTTTCAGGAACTGATCAAATATGTCTTTGTTCACATCGTGATCAATATTCTTTGAACGTAAGAGCGTGCAAATCACGTTCTTGAGATTTGGTCGATTGCTCAGTGATTACAACCATTCCCATGAAACCTTTACCCTTACTTCGTTCAATATTAGTTTCTTCTTTGTCAGTCTTGTAATCCATCGATAGAATACGACAGCGAAGTTATATGGTCTGGTCTCTTTATATTCTGGACTGGAATATTTATCTTGAATTAAAATCAACATTATATTAGGTTATTGAAACTGCAATAATCGATCAATGCGTTCTCGGTGCTTTTGAGTGATACCAGTAATACATGAATAGTAACTATTCATTTGTATATTATCATGAATAAAACATAATAAGTTTTGGTTATTGCAATGTATTATTATTATTATTATTATTATTATTATTATTATTATTATTATTATTACAGATTGAAATATAAAAATGTTTGGTTTGGTTTGGTTTTGGTGATCCTGGCACAGTCAGGCTGGTTAGGCTCATCATCAGCTCAGGGCCCTTGCCCCCTCTATACGCAGGCCAAACAGCGAATGGGACTCCTCCCAGGAAGCGCTGCCTAGTCAAACCTACCCAGATCTTTTCGGAGAATGTGAAGACTCCCCAATACTGCAGCCTTCTGCATTACTCAAATTGTCAGAAGGGCTGTATCACTGGTAGCCTGGTACCCGGATACTCTCCCAATGTCAGTCAACAGATTGGGAGGTATCAAACCTAAGGCACCGAGAACAATGGGGAGTCAGACAACTTGGTATTATTATTATTATTATTATTATTATCATTATTAATGATTAGTCATTGTCCCTTGCATCTGCATTAGTTAATTATATATCAACCTTATGAAACTATTCATTTTGAAGTCAAATATAGTAGTTTATGTAGCATATATGACTACCGGGACATTAAAAAGATTGCAAATGTTATTGATTATTTGCACGCTGGCATAAAGTCTAATCTAAAGTAGACTAGAGTAATCCAACTATATTTCATTACATTATTTCAATCATGTAATCAGCTGTTCTAAGACCGGTCACACACACCAGAGCCATACATTAGTCTGAGTGCTGGCTGATGACGGTATTTCGAGATCCTCCTTCCTCCGACGTGTGCTGTACCAAAGGCTACGTTTCAGCATGTTCGTGATTCCAACAATGTCATTGTTCAGTCGGTATCTGCCGAGTATTGAGTTACACATGGGCCCTGAGTCTCACTGCACATGATGCAATACGGATTGGGTCATGAAAACATGTTGCTAGACGAGACCGGTATCTAACTATTAAAACAGACTGGTTTTCCCCTAATGAATGACGTCAATAATTTCCATTTTCTTAATAAAAAACGTCAACGCCAGAAAATATCTCGATTATCTGCCGAAACAGATTCCATTGGGGGTAAAGGGCAAAATAGTGGTGACAAATATATAAATGGATCACTGAAAATCAGTGATGACATCAGGTGTTCGCGAAAAGGATAATTAAGAATGTCCTGTTCTACCGGGGGCACCCACCATTCACACTATTTGAACAAAAAAGGGAATGTTTGTTTGTTGCCAAACGCCGCACATCAGTACTCCTGCCAAGAAACTTTAAATCGTTACGTCCATGAATGGTTGCCACGCTACGTTAAACCGTTCAATTAAATGTAAGAATAGGGATTTAAAAACTCATGTTCATTCAAGGGATATGTCAAGGAGGCTCTCCGGGTGAGGTCATTTTGTAGTGATACTTCCACATTAACCTGACTGGTCGTGTTCGGAGGCATTTATAGTGAAGCTATCATCCACTGGTTTGCTTTAACTGTTGCACTGTTGTGGACTGGTACACTAATCACCAGGGGAGAGGGGAAATTAAGTACATGTTTGGAATTCGCACAATGTGTTTCGCCATGACACATAAAACAACCATTAAGCAATACATATAAATAATATTTTAAAATAATGATTTATTATATCATGTTGATATTTCATCGAGGTTTCATATGAGGCATTAGAAGAACTGTCAATTCTTTCCGATCAGTTACACACCCATGGCCATACATGATGTATTTACATAATTCGCCAACAGAAAGCGTATAACGCTTAGATGATCACTCCTTGCGCAAAATAATCACTGTCACTTGCTTGTCTCAAATCTTCAGAGCAACAAGACAATTAATACAAAGTTAGTTTTCTCAAAGGAATCCCATTCTGACATATAAGTAATTGTAGCACGTAGGAACTGTAGAAATATCTCTTGTAGCTACTAAACAGACAGGATTGTCTACGTCTGAAGCGACCTGTGTTTCCCGACGCCTTTGGGATCAACCGTAAAGAGGGATGCAACGATCCTTCCAAAGCACAAGAGGGATTAGGGGATTTGTAAACATCCTTTAATAAACCGTACAGATCCCCGCAGGATTAACACGGTTATACCACTGTGATTTAAGATGTGTCATGTTGTGATCGAGTTCCTCCGATACAGTATCACGTTGCCATCTCAGGCAGGGTTATTTTCACACTGGGTTATTCTTACTATTCTTGGGCATGTACTGTTTCTGGAAATAGAAGTGTTAAAGTTGAAATCCTACTACGTTCAGAGAACATTTAGATTGAAAAACGTGTCTAAATGTCTTGTTAATATAAAAAACTTGTGGAATTTATGAAGGTTGAATAGAAAATATATTGCCTTTTTGGAACGATTTTTTAATGCAAATATATCTTGTGTCTATAAGAAAATGATTCATTTACCATCATTCTGTAAGTGGCTTATATATTTCAACAGTTTGAAACCATTCATTGCACTTCGTTTCCAAGAAATTAGTCAAGAAGTGATCGTATGCGTGTGTCATCTACATGCTGCTTTAATTATGTTCATTGGTAGAATAAACCATGAGAAGGAATTCGAGAATCTGCAACAGAAATAATATTGTACGTGTCAAGTGCCGATATGTCGATCAGTACTCAGAGCCATGCCATTGTAGTTGATGGTTATAGATTTCACATTATGTTGCTGGAGATAATGACACTTAATTGATCTTTATTGCTGTCGAGCGAGAAGCACAAGTGCATATCGGGAAAACTAAATTTAAAATGAAACTTTTTTCAAACTGATAACTGGAGAAGCTGTGCATCCGTATCACGAATACTGAACGAGATCTAGATGGAATGTTTCAGTGACAAAATGCGAAAGTGAATAATACAATATAAAGGATCTTTTTTCCAATTTTTAGTCTGACATCTTACAATTTCTTACATTCGTTTCTAAATACATATTCGCCTTCTTGATCAGGAAATGTTTTATAGATCATTCAAAGTTGCACCAAATATAAGTCCTTTTCTTTCCCATGGCCATTAACCCTTTTTGAAAATTAATGCAATTGATAGTGAATAATATCGATGAAGATAACACCTGTGGATAGAAGGAGAGGTTGGATTGATATTGTTTGATCCTGTCAGTGACAGGAATGGGACATGACGCCTCTAAGAATGGTTAAACCCAAGATTCAAGTGTAAAATATTCATTTGGACACATCAATTCCAGGCTGGCTTAGCGAGGATAGTTCCTTGTCCTGGTCGCCATTGAAGCCAATATCCCTGCTAATACCTGCCAGACAAGCTGAACTAGCTTCATCTAGGGTTCCCTTGGGGACATCTCTACGACACGGCTTGTTGATGGCTCACACCATCACTGCCACCTCATTTGCCGTTGTATCTGGACGTGCCACTGAAATATTTGTAAATAGATGTATACTGACATGACCCTTTCCTGTGCATGTTCATTCGCAGAAGAGTAATGCTGTTCCTTTTTTTGTCCACCCTTGCCCTATGTCTATATGTTACACAACAGCACCAAAGAGTAGGTGCTGTTGTGTAACATATAGACATAGGGCTAGGGCAAGGGTGGCCCAATCGGCGTAAACTACGCAATACGAAGTGGTGAGTAACGCCCTTTAGGCGTGCCAGGACATTATGACCATGGGTTCGA